CTTTGTCTGCTCTCTGCTCCGGCAGCTTGTCTGAAGGAGGGAGCCCTGGGTTGTGTTCTGTAATCCTTATATATAATAAATAAACCTGGGCCGCCATCGCAGGCGGCGGGGGGGTTCAGTGCCTTGCCCAGGGGCACTTCAACATCTGGACTGAGATTCGAACCTTCAACCTTCCGGTTGGGAGGCAACCGCTCTACCCACCGAACCGCTGTCGCCCCCCACACCTGTTGCCTGTGCTTCTCTCAGCTGTGCCAATTGTGCGCGAGAACTACTACTTTGCGGGTTTGGACTTTTGACCCTTAACTGACGCCATAGGAACCCAATGTGAGCATTATCACCGTAAAGGAGCCTCACTGCAGCTGTCGGAGAAACAACACGCGTGTCACTGGTTGCACAGCAGCAGAACATCCAAGGTGGCTCGGTTTCCTTCACAGAACAGCAGCAGCCACAAGCTTTAGAGATGCAAAGGACAAAGAAACCTTTTTTATTGACTAACATGAACCTATAGAATCTCTCAGAACAGCCTCAGAGCCTTACAGTGAGAGGGGAGAGGACCCCTCCTGTTACGTCACTGCATGTACAGTCCTCATGAACATCAGTCCACTCCTCTGTCTTTTTAAAGGAGTTCAAACAATACATTTCTTCAATATATTTTTTCTGATAATACAAAGGCCATCAAAACAATTAATCTATGCATTTTATTTAAAATTTCTGGTTAGATAATACCTCCCCCCTAGCTTTTTTTTGTGTGTGTGTTTTTTATCTTTCTTTTATTTGTTTCTATTCTGGTTCGGTGAATATATTTTGAATACCCTGTTTTATACTTGTATCTTTGGATGACAGTACTGTATTTTTCATTTTGAATAAAGTTGGAAATAAAAAAAATAAATAAAATCAGTCCACTCCTCTGACTTCCTGGGAGCTGAGACCGGGTAGTGAGGCCCCGTTCTGCTGGTTCCAGCCAGACAAACATAAAGCGCTGTTCATGTATGAATACATGACGAAGCATATGACAGAGTTCACTGACACTGGACTGTTTGATTAGATTGAGACAGGTGTTCCTAATAAACTGACTACTGAGTGTACTTCCTTGAAGTGAACCCAGCTGAGCTGCAGAGCAAAAAGAACGCCGTTTATTTTCATGTGTGTACTCAAACTTCATGATGGTAGTTTTGCTTTCATCATAGGAGAGGAGGAGCAGACCTGATCCGACCACGTGGGGAGGGGCCAGAGTTCACCTGTAGCAGGTAAGGCCTGTTGACTGTCCCCTGCAGGCATACAGTACTTTACTCAGGTACTGCACTTAAGTACAGTTTTGAGGTATCTGAACTTTAATGGAGTATTTCCATTTTATGCTGCTTCATACCTGGACCTTGCCACATTTCAGGGACAGGTAGATATCTGAGGTGAACAGTGGAGATCAGGAGCAGGTGTACCTGTGTGTTCTTATTCAGCCTCCAGCTTTTGAGTCTTCAATACATTCTTGTGAAGTGTCATTCTGCATGATGAGTATTTTTACTTTTGCTACTTCAGGTATGTTTTGATGTCACCAGTATTTTTTTTTTTTTACTTCTGAATGCAGGACTTTTACATGCAACTGAGCGTTTTTACTCTGTGGTACTTGTATACACAGTACAGGGGCAAGAAAAATTAGTGAATTGGTGAATTAGTCGTAACATGATCTGATCCAAGGGTTCAGTGACCGTTTCCATCAGCTCTGTGAATGTCTAATGGTCGGGTTCAGTGAGGACATGAAAACCCATCAGTGTCTGGGGCCTTGGCTTCAGCACCTTGTGTCTACACTTGTGATTTGAATGAAGCTCATTACATTTTTATGACAAAGTCATGTAGAAAAACGGGTAATTCCACATAGTTCACTGATTTTTAGTTGCAACATCAGTGAAGCACATCTTCCGCTACTGGTTGTGACTGGTTAGCAGTGGGGGAGGAAGAATCCTCACTCCAGTAAAAGTACCACTGCTGCTGTAAAATCACACCACTGCACATAGAATGTGACTACAGTAAAAGTATGAAGGTACTGTTGGGAAAATGTTAAAGTATTAAAACTACAAGTACTCACTGCACGTGAATGTCTCCTGTGACTGCTACACGGCCAGATACAGTAGTCCATCATCAGATTTTGTTTTAGCACATTTCACTGTTGTAGCTGAGGTGGAGCTGAGCTTCAACTTTGTAAAGGACTGCAGCTAGTTATTGATTATTCTGATCATTTTCTCAAATCAATAATTGATTGTAAAAATGTGTCCCCACAGTTGGAGGCCAAAGTGGCACCTTCAGTGTTTCTGTTCAAACCAAAAAGTGAGTAAATAAACTATTCCTGTAATAAAAAGGAGGAAGAGCAGATGTGTACGATGACCTGTGTATGGGTTTAGCTTATAACAAAGCCTTTGGACTTTTTCCACTCCAATCCCTATCTGTAGTCCAAGTATTACAGCTAAAGTGCAGTATGAAGTACAGATTTCCTTTCAAAATGTAATGAAGTATATATGTAGAACACTGAAGTGTTCAAGTACAGTACTCGAGTAAAAGTACATAGTGACTTGGTTTGTTTCACTGTCATCAAATCCCCTGAAACAAACCCTTAACCTGTCCCGCTGTGCTGAGGCAGGAGCAGGCTGGTTAGTCATTTTACATAGTTTGTTTTAATATCAGGACCAGCAACAGAACTGTGACTCTGAAGTAAACAAAGCTTCATAAATAGAAAAATGGTTTTTATCTTCCACAATGTTAATCTTTCACTGCCCTAACAGCATCAGTCCGACTTGGTGTGCGCAGTGAACTGCTCAGTAAAGTTTGACTGCAACAGCTCACCAGTGCTTTTACAGTAAATAGTCAGAAAACAGTGAGAAATGTACCTCCTGAGTAACGTCTGAAGCTCCAAAGATTCATTTGTATGTCACTAAAGTGATTCACTAACAAAGTTTTCATAAATATCTGTCATATGATGAGAAAGGCTCACAGACCAGATCACGGTGGGCTACGGGACGTCTGACTTCTTCTCTGTTTTCTGAAATTTCATAGAAAGTGATTGAGAAACACCGGATGACAACGAGATGTGGCCGTGGTCAGTATGTGGTGTGGAACTGGGACAGACCGGTCAGGGTTAATCACAGCCATTAACAGCAGACACAGTGAATTTAACACCCACTGCCTCTAACGTCCCAGTTCAAACCTTCACACCGATTGTCTCTGTACAAGCAAGACACAGAGCTCCAGTGACAAACAGGACTTTTATTTTGAAGATGCTGCTGCCTATGTTAAAGTGGGGGTGGGTGTTGTTGTTGCCACCCACAGTAAGATCTGCACGTTACAGGGACACACATTTGGTGAGATAAATGCAACACATGTCACGTCAGCTCAGACCAACAGTCATACAGTGTTCGTTCCACAGGTCACATGATTCAGCCAATGACAAAGGACTACACAGCGGCGGCAGAGGAGCAGGGTGACGGGTTCAGGCGAAGTTCTTCTTCAGGAAGTTGATGAGGCCGTTGGTGGATGAGTCATGAGATGTGACCTCCGAGTCATCCTGCAGCTCCGGTTCGATCTTTTTTGCCAGCTGCTTACCCAGTTCAACTCTGTCAAAGGAGGTAAGGAGAGTTCAGTCTGAGCTGCACCGCCAACACTCAGTGGTCAGTTTATTGGGAACGCCTAGCTCAGTCTGATCCACCAGTCCTGCAGTAAATCCTCCTTTCTAAAGGTGGTGATGTCCACAGAGGTGCTGGTTCACCTGTGTGGTCACTGTGGAGGCTGCAGGTTGTGCTGCTGCTCACCTGCACTGTGTCACACTGAGAGCTGGCTCTGTTCTTTAGTCTCATCCCTCATAAATGGAGGACAAAATAACAGAAACACCTGCCAGTGTAATACACAGTTCACCAGCCTCAGAGATTACAGCTAGGTCCTGCTAATGCTAGCTAGCTTAGCAAATCTGATAGCTGCACCTCATTTCATGACCCTAGTAAATTTCTTTGATTTGGTTTAAAATCTTCAGCTTGGATGCATTTTATTGATTTCAGTCCAAGAAAAAGATCTTGTGATTATGACTTAGTGTGATGATTACAAGATGAGATCCTCCTATTTTTTTTCTTCGATAAATGCAAATGCTTCTGTAGAGTAAATCTATTGATGGGAACAAGTAAAAAAAAAAAGTGTAGGGTGTCTGTTTTGATCCAACCTGTTGGAAGTCATTTTAAGTAAAGTTCACTTTGAATGACTAAACTCTCATCAGTTACTTGAGGTTGCAGACTAAATATCAGAAAATAAGCAACACATCATCTCAGGGTCCCCTTCCCATCCTTTTACTGGAACTTTCAGCTGTGTCCCTTCCTCACAGGGTTGAGTTGGCTCAGTCTACATCAGTGAGGAAACTCCACCCTGTGAACACGCTCCACTGAGTGGATGGACCTGCTTTGTAGCACTATTGATGTGCTACTGATCTATTACCCTCTCTGACTGGTGAAGGTCAATATGAGCCACTCACCCCCACTGGTCATAGCTGTTGATGTCCCACATGACACCCTGCACAAAGATCTTGTGCTCGTACATGGCTGGAAAAAAAGGAAGAAACAAATTGTTGGATGATGGCACTCGTTACTAAACAAAACTCTATGGAAAAACACCGATATTTTGAGATGGAGCACCAGAATAACTGTTATTTTTATGCACACTCCACGTGTGGAGGAGTGCATGTTGTTCCTTTTATGAGAGATGGAGCCGTGTATGTATGTGAAGGCATCTGCAGCCACTATAACGTCTGTCTTCTCTGATACTCAAACCATAAAAGACTCATGAAATACGTTTTCCAACAGCTAACCTTCTGGCTGTATACTTCAGGTGTTCCCAATACTTACCAACCAGAGCTCCCAGTATGAACGGGGTCAGCTTCTTGAAGACAATGGAGTTGCTCGGCTTGTTTCCCTGGAAAACCTGATGATAAAAAAGGAGAAGAAATCATGATAAGTCTGAGTTCTGTCATATTGGCGTTTCAAACCGGATCTGTGTAGGCGAGACTGAAAATGAAAACATCTTCCAACTCTTCAACAAAGTCCAGAAGCCTGTTTATTTACACGTGTCAGTTCTTCATTAGTGTGTCAGGGAGCTTTCCTATGTTACACACTGAACACTAAGCAGTGACTACTGAAGCTAAAGTTCATCAGCCGTGTGATTGAGTCTTTAACTCTGTCCACTGTTTCTCTGTAACAGCAATAAAGGGAACCTGAGACTCGCCGGGTCCTTGTTAAATACAACGGGATCATTGTTGTCACCACAGAAGAGTATTTTACTTTGTGAGGCAGCAGCTTCTCCAGAGCGTCCCCTTTCATTCCGCTGGCCTCCAGCTCTTTACGTGCCTCGTCTGAGGTTTTTCCCTTCATCAGAGCTTCGGTCTGAGCCAAGAAGTTCGCCACCAGGATCTGGAAACATGCACAACGTTAGCACAGCAGGATCTACAAACTGTCCCCACAATGGGGATCAAAACCAGCAGAAGGCGTTACCTTGTGGTGGAGGTTGTCTCTGATTGGATGCTGAGACTGGGCAGGAATGAGGAAGTCGGCAGGAATCATTCGAGTCCCTGCAGAGGAAAGAAGATAAAGTGAGTTAATCCTCTGCTGACAAGATGCTGATCACTACATCTCATCAATTATAATTAATCAGCAGTCACTGTTTAGGGACGCAGTCTGCAGCAGGGCTCAGCAGCTCGCTTTAACCACTGGCTGATTTTTTTGGGAGGACACCTTCTACAACATCAGAATGAGACAGTGACGCTGATTTATGCACGTCTCCGGGTCTAGGCCTGCAGCTGATCGTGATCCTAATAAGATTTATTTTGCCTTCTCAATCTTTTAGTATCAACATCAGAAAATGTCCATTTTAGCTTATCATAGGTTCAAGGTAACAGCCGAATGTCTTGCTCTGTGCAACTCAGATTCAGTTTATAATAGGAAAAAGGCACCAAATCTGAGAAGTAACTTAAGTAGAATTGTGTACAGTTATGTAAAACCTTTGATATGACATGGTATATACATTCACTATGAATGTGAAAACTTCAGGTTTTGTTAGAGGGGAATAATTTTTGTTTGTTGGAGGACCAAATTTGGTCCACGGGCCACCGTTTGCCTCCCTGCGCTCCCCGGGATGTTGCAATGTAGTGTGTGACCTTGGTGGATGAGCTGGTAGAAGGCGTGCTGCCCGTTGGTCCCCGGCTCCCCCCACACGATTGGTCCGGTGTGATAGTTGACACGGCTGCCGTCTTTGGTGATGTACTTCCCGTTGGACTCCATGTCGCCCTGAGTAACGGACAGGCCACACCCACACTTGTATCAGGTCCTACTTAAAACTGGCTTGTGAAAATGCAGCTGCTAAACACAGGTCAGTGTAACCGTGTTTTTATGAGCCGGCCTGTGTTATACTAAAAACTTTAATACTGTAGTTCAGAACCGTTCATGTTCCCCCACACCACCCTCACCGACCTGCTGGAAATAGGCAGCGAAGCGGTGCATGTACTGGTCGTAGGGCAGCAGGGCGTGAGTCTCGGCCTGGAAGAAGTTGACGTACCAGATGCCGAGAACAGCCAGCAGGATGGGCGCGTTGTGCTCTAGGGGGGCGCTGCAGAAGTGCTGGTCCTGCAGAGAGGAGGGGCAGTAATGGAAAGGCTGGCGTCATACATTTTCACTACATACATTTATTACCGTCCAATACTTTAAGGCCCATGACACCCTGGACAGACACGCCCCTTTGTCAGAAGTCAGTTGGTGATTGGGCGCTTCAGATGAAAGATGTCTCATGTCTGTGTAAGCGTGCTTCGACTCCTGTCATCCCATGTTTTTATCTTATGTGGGCAGCACTGAGACAAGAGGAAAAAATGAGGAGAATCCCAGTTCCCTAAACTGCACCCACATCTCCCTCATGTCTTCTCTCCGTGCTACTTAGTCCTGCCCACATAAGATATAAGGAAAAGATGCGTTTTAAAAGACAGGAGAAGTTCTTTCCTCCGAACCTTACACGAAGCATCCGATCACAAATTGACTGCCAATAAAGGGGTGTGTCAATCCGTGTGTCGTTCGGACTGGGTCGACTGAGGGTCGATAAAATAAGGGAATTTGGGATTTTCTATAGACGCAATTAAGCAAACTGAGTTTTACCCCAGAAAATTTGATTTTGGCCTTTTCCATTTGTCCTGTGATTCATTTGGCTTTAATCTTGTTTTACCAAAGCTGAATTTTGTTCCTACTTTTTCTTTTGCTCCTCACTTATCTTCGCGTTAAACTGCATCCAGTGTATAATCTGAAACTACAAAATGTTCTGAGGCTTCTTGCCTCCTAATAAACAAAGATGAAGTTGTGAGTCCTTGTGCTGTGATCAAACAGATGAATGTAAATGTCTGTTACACAACATCAGTGTATGGAAGCAACATGCTCAAACGGAGTGTTTGCTGACCGAAATCCACAACACAGCCTGAACAAGTATTTAACACAAAGTCAGGAGGGGAACAAACAGAAAACCGTGTCCTACCATCCAGTGAGCTCCTGCCAGAAGCTGCTCAAAGTTTTCAAATCCTGAAACACATAAGAGGAGAGATGGGTCAAAGGTC